CCCTTGGAGCCTTTGGCATAAGGATGGTGGGAAAATTACAGTAAACTACAGTTGCAGCATGGGAGAGAGACAGGAGGCCTGAAATCAAACTTTACCTACTTTTCGTTCTTACCTGGAGCTCGTTGTGGGTAAAAGCAGTGGTGTGCTTTTAACAATTGGCTCTCCAAGATAAACAAACAAAAAGCTCTGGTTTGTAGTGTTCACTGATTGCTGAGGGGTAAATATTCCCACCATGGCTGAATTCAAGCTACCAACATGACAGCATTGGAGGTGGAGTCGGGAAAGATGTGCTCTCGTGAGCTGGGACGACCTGGGTGCAGTACGCCGCTGGGCAAGCTTATGCGTGTGGGGTGGTGGGTCTACATGCACAAGAGGACTCGCCGTCCCTGCTGCTCTGTGATGGGGTCAGAGAGCGTAGAAGCAGCAGGGAGCTGTCCTGGACTGGGTGCTGACCAGGCACTACCGATCTTGGCACATGGCTATTTTTTATTTTATTTTTAAAATTTGTTTTATCGTTAGTTTCAGGTGTACAGAACAATGCAATAGTTATCCTTTTCACTCTCACAAAGTAACAACCCCCCTCCCCCCGTGTACTGCCCTCCCAACCCCGATACCATGCGTATCTATTACAATTCCATTGAATCCATTCCCACTCTCTACTCCACGTCCCGTGACTATATGTATATATAATTACAGTTGACATACAATATTATTCAACATCAGCTTTAGATATACAGTGCGGTGGTCAGGCCTCTACACCGACTATGAAGTGGTCTCCCCAACAGGACATGAATCCATCTGGCCCCCTAAGGCACATGTCTATTTAAAGGAGATAAACCGCTTGTGTGATGGCTGGGAGGGGCGGCCACCTCTGTCTTCTCAGGCAAAGGTGACAGGGATTCAGACCACTGGGTGAGGTGGGTACCGGATTCTCTGTTATAAAACTTTCCAGGGGAGAGGAAAAAGCTCCTCGGGGCATGCGGGGCTGGGAGCTGAGGACAGCATGAAGTTTCCCAGACTGCAACTATAAATCCCAACCTAACTTGGTGAATTACGATGATGAATTATGTCAGCTTTTAGAAAAGATCTCTGTGATGAATGAAGCTATACATACATATTCGAAAGAGTTGAAAACCTGGCCACCCCAGCTTATCCTAGACCAGAAGGTCTTAGCCCTGGTTGCATGCTGGAATCACCTGGGAACCTTCTAAAATACACTGATATCCAGGGCAAACCTCTCTGACCAGTGAAATCAGAGTGTCTGGGGTGGGAGCCGAGGCAAGGCTGTTTAAAACACGTGCTCTAGGTGATTCTAAAGTGCAGTCAGGTTTGAGAACCTCTGCTCCAGGCAATTGCCCTCCTTCTTACCAACTGCATTTTCGGTTTTCTATTATATGCATTTCAAATTTCTAGAATCATATACATCCCCAATCCTAAATTCCAATAAAGGTACTCACAGTTATCCACTGGTTAAATATAGCTGCCGCGGAGAGAAATGACAATTCCTTATTCATACATATCGTGCAAGGGAGGGAGGGAGACACGAGAGAGAACATGAGAGAAGCAACCGTGAGATGCACAATCACAATGCGTTTCTGAGTAGCCTGTACTTAGCTTTCCCAGGGCTG